ACGACGCTGACGTGGGTGAGATTCCTGGGATGCTTCGTGGGGTCTCTTTGGAGCGCTCTTTCGGGTCTCTGGGGAGCAGTTTGGGGGCCTGTTGGGAGTCGCTTGGGGGCCTCTTGGAGCTTCCTGGGGGCCTCCTTGGGGCCTCGTGGGGGCCTCCTGGAGCCTCTTGGGGCCTCCTGGGAGCCTCTCAGGGCTGAGAGCTCGACATGTCAGGTCGGGTCCCGCATCTGGGCACCCTCTTGGAGCCGTCTTGGGCGCCTCTAGGACCGTCTTGGAGACGTCTTGGGCCGTCTTTGCGCTTTCTTGGGCCGTTTTGGGACCCTCTTGGAGGCCTCTTGGGCCGTCTTAGGGCGATCTTGGGGGCCTCTTGGCGTGTCTTGGAGCGTCGGGAAGGGGAAGAGTCGAGAACGCCAAAATCATTCAAAAAACAATAGGAAATCAATGAATTTAGCTTCTTGGGGCCGTCTTGGGAGTGCTCCTGGTAGGCCTCTTGGAGCGTCTTGCAGGGCTCTTGGGTCGTCTGGAGTCCGTCAAGGCGTCTTGGACAAGTCGTTCGGCGATTCGGGGCCCTTTTGGACCGTCTTGGAGGCCTCTTGGGGCACTCTTGGCCCGTCTTGGAGCTTTTCTGGGCCCCGGGATCCCCGGGGAGGGGGCGTCGTATCTGACGCGCGCCCCCCCCCGGGACCCCCCCCCGGGACCCCCCCGGGACCCCCCCCCGGGACCCCCCCCCCCCCTCCCGGCGGGGGAGGGATCAAAGGGAAGGGGCTTCCCTTCGACTCAATTACGACGTTGCTCAAGTTCGGTTTGGCTGGCGCGCTTGAGGAGGAGGCGCTGGGGAAGGAGAGGGGAGCGGCGACGGGCTTTTCTGGGCCCCGGGATCCCCGGGGAGGGGGCGTCGTATCTGACGCGCGCCCCCCCCCGGGACCCCCCCCGGGACCCCCCCGGGACCCCCCCCCGGGACCCCCCCCCCCCCTCCCGGCGGGGGAGGGATCAAAGGGAAGGGGCTTCCCTTCGACTCAATTACGACGTTGCTCAAGTTCGGTTTGGCTGGCGCGCTTGAGGAGGAGGCGCTGGGGAAGGAGAGGGGAGCGGCGACGGGCCCAGGGAAAGGGGGGGCGCAGGGGAAAGGAGACGACAGAGACGACGACTAACGAATGACGGAGATGACGAGTCGAACGGACAAGCCCCTCACACACGCCGACAGGGTCGGCGGATTTATTTGTGTGTCCCAGGGCCCCTTCAGTGAAGCCCGTGCCCCCCCAACCCGAAGTCCGGGTCTTCGGGTTGGGCTGGGGTGGTCTGGCAGGTGCAGTCCACCCGCACAGTAGGGATGGGGCACCTTCCCAAGGGTATACCCTTGCAGCCTCGGCTCCTCGGGCCATCCTGCGCCGCTTTCGCTGGCCGCGCCCCGCTCGAACAGCTTCGAAATGGGCGTCCAAGGCCTTTGCACCCTTGTCGCGCATCCTTACTATACTGGTTGGCTGTAGTCAGCGGTTGGCGAGTCGGCGGGCGACAGTGAGCGCCGCGCCCAGGCGGGACTCCAGATCCGAGGACGAACGAGCGCAGCGCCAAGAGACGAGAGCGACCCGTCGCCCTCTCGCGCGCAGTTCCCGCCGCGCCTTCTCCGTGGCGTCGACGGCACAGCGTCCAGGTGGAGGTACAGTCAGCCATGCTAGTAAGGATGGGGCAACTTTCCAAGGCAGGCTGCCCTCGCATCCTTGCCCCTTCGGTGTTCGGCATCCCTCGGCATTCTGCTCCGCTCCGCAGGGAACGCGTCGACATGGCGTTCGAAGGCCCTTGCATCCTTACCGCGCATCCTTACTACCCTGGTCGAGATATAAGTTTGTAGACCTTGGGTTGGTAGGATGGATGATGAGATCCTGGATTTCAAGTCCCTATCGGCCAGCTGGGTGGCAGAGTGGGGGCATGAGCAGGGAGCAAGAACAGGCAGAGGAGCCTTCGCAGCAACGCAAGGGTGTCCACGCATAGGAGGCCACGCGCAAACGCATAGGAGCCCAAGCGTAGGAGTCTTCACAGCATCGCGTAGGGGCGACGCATAAGATTTCACGCAACAGCGCATAAGAATCCACGCATCCGAATTCACACGTAGCAGTCCACCCATCGATGCCCACGACGTGGAGACTACACGCAAACGGTCAGCATGCGAGTCCATACGCCAGCTTTCGGCAACGCGAAGCTCAACAATGGCAACCAGGACCCGTCTATGCGAGCACAAGCAAAAGCAGTCCCCAAGTGAAGGGTGGAACC